GTTGGAGCCGGTATCTTTCTTAAGCCATTATAATGTATCCAACTTTATGAGTTTTTCTCATTAACTATTAATTGCTATATGTCTGTCTTAATTAAGATTGCTGTTTTTCTAATTATTGCTATTGATACTCTCTTAGGTATGTGTTACCCATGCGTACCTCAGCGCTATAAATGTATAGATTTCTGTTTATCATAGCAATATTTATGTGGTGTTATTGAACGTCTGAAAGCTTTGAGAATGCGTTTTCCCAAAACTTCTTAAAAACCACCAAGTTGGTAACAAATCAAGTTGGCAACAAAAAGTCTCAACAAGACCCAGCCAAGAGAGTTTTTGCACATATCTAAGGTTTTATTTGAACTGCTTATGTAAGTTAAGCATTGTTGGTTTCAGAATCAAAAACTCTACAGTTCTATACAAAGCATGAGCACTTGTATCCACAACAATGCATCCTAAAATTATTACCCAAAATGCAACAAATAAATAAATAAATAATTCCATAACATTACAGCAATATAGAAAAACAATATAATCAAATGGTCTCAAAGAGTTACAGCAGTATATAATGATGCCCAAAGATTTATTTTCCTATGAGGAAATTTTCTTCTCGCTTTCACTAATTTTATGTCTGGAAAAATCAAGCCAAAAAACATCTGGTTATTATATCATTTCTGAGAAAAGTTGCAAAATGAGAAAGGAAGGGGGGGGGGGGGGGGGGGGGGGGGGGGGGGTGGGGGGGGGGGGGGGTGGGGGGGGGGGGGGGGGGGGGGGGGGGGGGGGGGGGGGTTGAAGTTGGGGGGGGGGGGGGGGTGGGGGGGGGGGGGGTCACTATAACAAATGAAGTAAAATTGTTTCATAAGAATAAATAGTAAAATTAAATTAAACTTAAATAATTCTCTTGCGCCATTGCTGCAAGGAATGAAGTAAAGATGTTTATCTGTAGACTCGGTTTGTAATCTCAAAATAATATTGTTGCGTGCGTACGGGTTCGTTATGAAATGAATGCTCAAGTCCGATGAAAAATGAACAAAAATTTATTATTATCACAACAAAAATGCTTACATTTTCTCAAATTATCATGCAGTATTACAATATCTCACAGTAGTTTTCTTTTAACTACTCAAATGTCCAATAGAACGTAATTCAAAACAGCTAAAGAACGCTAATCCGCGAATTCGCTACAATCAACAACAGTAGTTTTCTAAACAACAACAAACTAAGCAACTCCTACAAACTGAGATGTTTTTCCTCCTTTTATAAGATTTTAAAATCACGCGCTAGAATTTTTTTCCAGTACTTTCTCGAAATCAAAAAGAGAGATATTTATTTAAATTTAATGCACGCGCTCTTGTATTTTCAATTTTCCGGCTTAGCTTTCTTTTAATATTCGTCACGCGCTGCACTGCGTGAGAAATAAAACCATTTAATTTATAATTGAACTAACATTAGCTTTTTAAATACCAAATTCGTAACACTGCCTCCTTCCCAAGGACTGCACGTCCCGGGCAGTACAATCCCTGGACAGGAAGCTAAACTTACAACTGTGGCATAAATGCATTAATAAGCATTACATTACAATAATAAACAACATGAACAATAAATGCAATACATAAAACAAATCAAATGCTATCAAATACAAAATCAAATACACATTTTAAAAAACAAAAATGGACCATGGTCTTATACTATTTACAATTATTTACATTATGTACTATGGCCATAGTAATGAGCTAACCTGTCGTAATGAACGACTTTAGGTTTAGAGTTCGAAGACTTACGAATCCGAACCATGACGTCATTTAGTCTGTTCAGCACTGTATACGGATCATCCGAAGGTGACTGTAATTTAGGACTCAGTCCTTTTCGTTGAATCGGGTTCCACAACCACACCTTGTTCCTTTGTTGGATCTATGTCTAGTAGCTCGCGTGTCGTATCTGGTCTTCACTTTCTCCGTCGCCAAGTTGACTCGCTTTCGTGCAGAACGGTGCATCTCCTCAAACCGGGCCTGGACATTTTGGATGTGTTCCTCAGGCGATGAAGGCGCATCCGTACGGCGAGCAAACAGGCGGTCACAAGGCAGACGAAGGTCTCGACCGAAGAGCTTCTGAGATGGAGAATAGCTGGTAGTCTTGCGTTTCTTTTCGACCCTAGCATGATTTCGGCGGCTTCCCGAGCTGGGTCTTTCAGACAAGGCGTCAGCATTTCCAAGTGAGGATCTCTTCTGAGGATGGATAGTCATGTCACCAGATGCTGAAAGCTATTTGTTGTTTTTGAAGTCTAAGGAAAAATTTTATTTCCCTGAAAAAGTCCATCCGAGTATGCATGGATCTGTGATATCCGCCACATAAGCCGTGTGATGGTAGGCGGCACTTCCAAACGTGATGTTTACGTTTAACTTCCCAGTTATGTCGATCTTATCACCAGACGCAGTCTGAAGGGTAACACAGGATGGCATCCAAATAAGTTTATCTTTAAACTGTTCAGCTAAATCTTTCCTAGTGATGGTAACATTAGCTCCTGTGTCAATGATCATATCGCAAGGAACTCCATCGATATTCCCATTAATGGACATTCCGTTACTGTTGCCACTCACTGTATAAATTTTAAGCACTTTAAAACAAGGTTTTTCATTATCTGACAACCTCCGTTCCTCGATATGGTCACTAATTGTTTACTGCGTCGTTGCTGGGAAAATGGTCTTATTTTCCGTACCTCGGGATGTTCTGCAATTTCTTCGTATGTGGCCTTCAACTCCGCAGTTCCAGCATTTTAGAATTAGTTTCTTTTCACTTATGTTCCGTCTCAAGCCACTGACTTGTCTGGTAAAATCATCTGCTTTATATTCCGTACCCTGGCGTGTTCTGCAATTCCGTCTTAGGTGACCTTCACTACCACATCTCCAACACCTTAGAGCCACTTTCTTCTCCCTCCTACTCCGTATCAAAGCGTCGACTTGTCTGGCTAAATCATCTAAACGAGCCATCAGTTGATCCACTGGCTCATGGACTCGCACAGCTCTAACTGGGTAGCAATCTCTACTAGTTGCTTGCTGGGCTGCCTCGAACTTCATGGCGTACAACAGAGCGCTTTTTATGTCCTTTACATCTGCCATTCGAAGAGCTTTCTGTATTTCAGGATCCCGGATGCCGTCGATGAAATATTGCAGCGACAGGATTTCTCTAGTTTCTGTCGGGCACTCCGAAAAGGCGAGGTGGGACAGCCTTTCAACATCCGTGGCGAGTTCCTGGAGTGATTCAGTGGGCTTCTGTTGACAAGATTTTAATTGGAGCCTGCTGTAGTCTTTTAAACACTTCTCCCCAAAGCGCAACTCCAAGGCGCTTGGACAGAGCTTCGAAATCTAACCTTTTGTTTTCGGGAAGAGTCTGAAGGATATCCGCTGCGTCGGCTCTTAGAGAAGCGGCGAGATGACAGGCCTTAGCTTGGGAATCCCATCCATTCGCATCCGCCACGATAGAAAATTGTGTCTTATACACCTGCCAGGAGGTCTTCCCATCGTATGTGGATAGCTTCAGAGGTGGACGAGCAGGCATTGGTAAGAATTTAAAATCATCACTCCTGCTCCCTGCCGACGCTACAAATTTCTTTAAAGTATCCATTTCTTTGGCAACTGCAGAAACTCTCTCATCAATTTGTTCTTTTACAGAAGAAACTCTTTCTTCTATTTCTTCTTTCACCGAAGAAACTCTTTCTTCAATATGTCCAACTTTATTTTCAACTGCGACAATTCTGCCTTCCATAGCTTCAAATTTATTTTCTATTATGCAAGTAATTTCTTTTTTCATTTCTTCTTGACCAGCTTGAACGGCTTTCATTTCGTCCTTAATGGATTCCTAGCCCAATTTCATTTCTTCCTTAAATGATGCTTGGCCAGCTTCCATCTTTTCTTGGAATGTAGCAAAAGCACTAATGAGCTGTCTCAATTGTTCTTCCATCGCTCTTGTTATTGGCATTCAAATCCTACTTCTGACACCAAAAATTGTTGCGTGCGTACGGGTTCGTTATGAAATGAATGCACAAGTCCGATGAATAATGAACAAAAATTTATTATTATCACGACAAAAATGCTTACATTTTCTCAAATTATCATGCAGTATTACAATATCTCACAGTAGTTTTCTTTTAACTACTCAAATGTCCAATAGAACGTAATTCAAAACAGCTAAAGAACGCTAATCCGCGAATTCGCTACAATCAACAACAGTAGTTTTCTAAACAACAACAAACTAAGCAACTCCTACAAACTGAGATGTTTTCCTCCTTTTATAAGATTTTAAAATCATGTGCTAGAATTTTCCAGCACTTTCTCGAAATCAAAATGAGATATTTATTTATTTAATGCACGTGCTCTTGTATTTTCAATTTTCCGGCTTAGCTTTCTTTTAGTATTCGTCACGCACTGCACTGTGCGAGAAATAAAACCATTTAATTTATAATTGAACTAACATTAGCTTTTTAAATACCAAATTCTTAACAATATTTATATAAAATAAGTATAACTATTAATAGTTTTTTAAATGATTTCTAGTGAGTGAAACTTTTCTGCTGAAACATATTTGCTGAATATATTTCATGATGTATATCATTTGTATTTTTCCATTTGCTTCCAGGCTAACTTTGTCACAAGTGTTAAATCAAAATCCATTAAAAGCACCAAAAAGGGGGGGGAATAGAAAAGGGAAAAACTGGCACTTTTTAAAATAATTTTTTTTGTAAAGTTGACCAGAGCCATGACTTTTTTTTTTTTTTTTTTTCCTTGTGAATTCTGTCCTATTGCTTAAATATTCCATTCATAATATTAGTTGCATGCAGTATTAAATAAGAGCCAAACCAGGAATTTTGTTATCAAAATTCTAGTAATTTGAAAGCAAGTATGTTACTTATATCTGAAATCAAGAAGTATGTTAATATACACTCAGCTGAGTTTTGCTTCTTAATAGGAAGTTTAGCAAAGTTCTTTATCTAACTTAAAATTTTATTTCAGATAATGAAGATAGTTCTCCTGAAAATGAATCTGTTGAAATTGCAAGTGCCGAAACATTATTAGCAAAATCTGTATCAAGTAATGATGTACATTGTACAATTTCAAAAGATAATGACTTTAAACAAAACTTACATGCAGATTCAAATGTTGTTTCATGCTAAAATACTGGAATGTAATATTTTTAAATGCATTTATATTACATATTTATTGTAACATTTTAACAGTGGAATGTATGGATTCCATGATCTGTTTAAATTTTCCTAGTTTATTGTTGAAATACTTACATTGTTTAAACTGACACCTTAAGGAACTGAAAATATTTCAGTATTACAGAGATATATGTTTAAATATTTATTTATATTTTTTATATATTTGTAAAATTGTGTGAATTTTGTTTCATTTGTTGTATTAAATTTGTGGAATGATTTTTATCCATTCAGATCCTGATTGTTATAAAAATTGTCGTCTTACAACTTCATAATGCTGTGAAAAAGTTACTGAGAAATATTTCTTCCTCTCTATTTATAGTCACATTATCAATAGTTTGTAACAAGTACTACTTAAACTACTAAAATTTAACAGTAGTTAAATTGCAGTTATCTATTTTGAATTGATTTTAACATAAAGCAACTAAATGTATTACAAGAATGGTTAAAGAATTAGTTGCGATGATTTTATTGAGACTACTCTAAGTTGGTTATTTTGTTTTATGTACAAAAATATGTGTAATTGTGATTTTTGTCAATTATAGTTCTCTTTATATGCCTAGAAGTGTGTTCAATAAGCAGCTATGTATGAAACTTGCCTGTTTTTTCTAAATAAAGAACAAATGAGCATTGAAGTACATTTTCATGGCATGTATTAAAAATACACATTAACTAATACTATATCTGACTATCCATAATTTAATGCCAGAATTATAAAATTTAAAATATGTTGTTTAAATTCATTTTGTAAATATTAGGAAAACAGCCCTGTAGTAACTTGCCATAATTTAAATAATCCAACATATCAAATTTAAAATATTTTATTTAAATTCATTTTGTAGGTATTAGGAAGATAGCCCTGTAGTGATTTGCCATAATTTAAATCGTTCAATCTAATTCCTCTGTTTTAAGTTACATGACATATGTTTAATCCCCTTATCAGAGGCTTATACACTGACTACCAATAAGTATTTGGACACCTATGCAAATCACGATATCTGCGGTCTTAAGGTACATCGCGGACTCTGCCGGTATATATCGTGTAGGAAACAGCATCGGCTTTAGTTGCATGCAAAATGCCTCGCAATTCGGAGCTCTCTGATTTCGAGAAAGGTATAATTATCGGGTATCACAAATGTGGCCGATCCTTAAGGGACATATCTAGAGATCTGAAGTACACAAAATCGACAGTGGCCTATGTGATTAAGAAGTGGAAGGTGAGTGGTGATTGTCGAAATGTGCCCCGCGTCGGCAGACCAACGAAACTGGGAGATAGAGACCGACGAGTGCTGTCCAGAGAAATTCGGAAGAACTGCACCCAACCGATGGCCCTTATCCGTGAGGAGTTTCAACAGGCATCTGGGAGTATTGTTTCAATGAATACCATCCATAAAGAAGCACATCTGCTTGGTTTTCATGGTCGTGCTGCTGTCCATAAGCCTTTGATTACAAAGTCCAACCACGCTGCTCAGTTAAACCGTTCGAGCCGTAGCGAAAACGCGCGCTTATCGCGGAGGCCGGCAGTGTCTTCTGCGAGCGTCTCTCCAGGGCCGGGGGCTTTTTTGCTACTAAGCCTAAATCCATGAAATTTCCAAAGTATCAACGCATTGTTTAATAATGCTCTATAGAGTATTTAAACGGCTTATGCTTTATAAATATTTTTATATATATACTTTAATTACCTTATTTCTTGTTTAAATGCCTATTTTCCACATTTTATTTTAATTACTCACCATTTTATGACTTTTAACATTATACATCTGAAAACTAAATATATTACTTAAAATTCTCTTTTGATATGAAAAATTTTAAAACAGGGATTTACACACAGTCCTACGTTACATTCCTTGAACTCGTAATAACTCATTTGCCCTTTTGGAGGATTTTTCCGGGAATGTGAACAAACGAAGTATCGTCGTCTCATTCTCTTATCAGTCTCTTCTGAACAAAGTTTTGGAAAATGTCTTTCAGTTAATTTTTCAGAATCAATATCTGAAATATTTTGCATCATTTCTGCTATTTCATGCTCTGTTAAACATTTTCGACGCTTCAACATTGAAACGGTAATAACAGAAAGAATTCACGTCTAACAAGATCAAATTATTTTCTAAAAACTGAACTGTAAACCGAAATACTCAACGCTTTAGCGCATATAAAAGTTCTACTTACAATAAACAACTACCACGTGCGAATAAAGTGCGATTTAAAGAATCGTCATGAATCACGCCATTCGGAAACATTTAGTTCCCCGTTTGTTTATATAATCAAAAACACGTGTATGTGAGTCATGCTTCTCTCATTTCGAATAGATCTAATGTACATGTATCTGAAACCATATGGACATACAGTGCCATCTTGTGGCAGAAATTATAGTTTGAAAAACGTTCCAAGGTACTGGCACAAATACGCGACGGTTGGTAGTAAACGCAACAATGCTCTGGCACGCCTGCGTGTCGGCCGGTAAATAAGTGTGTTCGTTGCTGGCACATATATGTGACACTCGGCGCGAAGGGATTAGTGTGGTGCAAAGCACATTGAAATTGGACCGTAGATCAGTGGAAAAAGGTTCTTTGGAGTGACGAATCAAGGTTCACCCTTTACCGTTCGGATGGCAGGGTCTGGGTCTGGCGTCTACCTGGAGAACGTCGCCTGCCAGAATACATTTTTCCAACAGTCAAGTTCGGCGGAGGTGGAATTATGGTCTGGGGGTGTTTCTCCTGGTATGGGCTGGGACCCTTGGTCCCCATTCATGGTAAGCTCAACTCCGATGCCTACTGCACTATTTTGGATGACAATGTGCTTCCTACGTTGTGGCAGTTTTACGGGTTGGACCCCTGTTACTTTCAGGACGACAATGCCAGTTGTCATGTTTCGACGTTAACCAAGGCTTGGTATGGTGCCAATGGAGTTCATCGAATGGACTGTCCTGCCGAGAGTCCAGACCTGAATCCTATCAAGAACCTCTGGGACGAGTTGCATCGCCGAATTCAGGGGTGCATTAACCATGCAAAATCGGTGAAGGAACTTCTATGTCTTTTCCAAGCCGAGTGGAAGAAAATACCACTAGCTGTCATACAAAGACTTGTGGAAAGTATGCCCCGGAGGGTCCACACTGTAATTACCTCTCGTAGAGGCTCTACCAACTATTGATTTTGAATAAAGTTAGTTTTTCGTTTCTATCACCAGGTGTCCAAATACTTATTGGTAGTCAGTGTATACACCAGCTTTGCTTATGGAAGGCCTGCATCAGAGGCTTATATATGTTTTGATAATTTCATACTTTATTACCATAGTCATATATGTATATGTACAAAGGTCTTATGCTGAAATATAATTTACTTTTTTCTGGAGTATAATGTAGTATAGATATTTGTATTGATGACCGTAAAATGTTTTTTAACACGCTATATGTAGCGTAAATCAATTTTCAAGTTAATATTGCATTACTCATGAGTTTCATTTATACTTTCAAAAGCAGTTGCTCATTTGACATCTTTATTTCTTGAGCTGTATTTTTATTTTAAACTTTAAATGGTTTATTAATATTACATCAGACTGGGACAGTGATTATTGACCAATTTTATTTGAAGATTAGAGAAATGATTCCAAACCTGAATTTTTTTTTCTGCAAATTTATAACAATTCATTTCTTCTCATTCTGCTTTTCCTGAAATATACATGGTTTTCATATCTTTCATCATGCTTTTTAAACAAATATTTGTCATCCTGATAATATTTTAAAATATTTCTAAAGATTTATATTCTGAAAATGCTTTTGTTTTGAATCCATTTGAATGATTTTATGCATGACCTCTGGATATACAGACAGAACAGAGGACTCTGTTTTCCAAAATGAATTGTAGAATGGATTTAAAATTTTTAAATTTAATTCAGAAGAGATTTATTCATGATGTCTGTATATGCATATGTATGTATCTCACATAACACAACAAGCTGGTTTAGAACATTTAAATGTTGTCTATGGGACTGATATAACATTTAATTATGCCTCTCCCTTTTCATTGCTATCGGCCGCACCAAACTTGTCTCTTACCTGGTTCGTTGAGCTCAGTCTTATTCTTATATGTTGGTATATTGTGCATGTTTTGCTTTAGAAATGGTTAAATTATGTTGTTCTTATGTTCCAGATAGGTCTTTATGCCTTTAGTTAATCTGCATGCAATATTTCTAGAATTATCAACAATTTAGGTTAATTTAGGTTAAGTTTAATGGCGCTGAGCTAACGAGGCTGCCATTTGTTTAAATTTGAAACTCTTAGTGGAATCGTGAATTCAGTTAATGCATAATTTTCAGTGTCTTTTCACCCCATGGGACAAAAAGTTAACTTTTCGTTTTCGGCATTGAAAATTTGGTCTCCTTGCCCATTGGTCAAATTGCTTGTTTTGAAACAGAAACTTAATTAAACACTTAATTAAACTTAATTAAAACAGAAAAAAAATAACTGTTTTTAACTCTGTTTGGTATTTGTTTTAGGTTTTTCTATATTTTTTAGTGTTTAATGACTAAAAATACATACTAGTGGTAATAATTTTAGTAGTAAAAAACCTTGATGCAAAATGAGAACTGAATTGATTGAATGAGAAGTATTGGGTCATATAAAAAGTTTTTGTGCTTTTCTGGTACATTTTTGAACAAAAACTTTCTTTATTGAAAATCAGTTTTAATCAATTACATATTGATGATTATTATCTATGATCTTTTGCCATTTTTCGGGTAGCTTCATAATTCCACTGGTGTAGAACTTCTGTGGTTTATCCTCGAAAAATTTGGGCAAGTGATTTTCAGTGCCTCTTTGGTCGATCAATTTTTTACCATCAAGAAAGTTTTGCAGAGCCCGAAGAAAATGATAGTCTGGCGGTTCAGAATTGGAGCTATATGGTGGATGCATCAAAACTTCCTGACCAAGTTCCATCAATTTGTTCTATGTCATCAAAGATGTGTGTGGCCGCGCATTGCCATGATGGAACACAACTCCCTTTCTTTTGGCTAATTCTGGTCACTCGTTCTGTATTGCTTCATTCAAACGATGCACAGGGCCAAATTGATGGTTTCGCCAGGTTGCAGTTTATATGGCACCCAAGCATTAAGCTTCTTTTTGTAACCTGCTCTTTTCAAATAATTCCAAACTGTCATGTGGTTGATTTTTAGTGCCTCTGCTATTTCCTGACAGCTTATGTGCTGGTTTTGCTCCACCAGTTGCAAAATTTCATCGACTTTTTCAGTGGAGCGAGGTGCATCTTTGATATTGAAATTTCTGTAATGGAATCGAGTAAACCACTACTGATTCCTTCATTCACTCACAGCATATTCATAAATTCATAGCACTTCCCAAATTTTTTGGCATGTTTTGCAGCTTTTTTACCTTTTGTTTATAGTAAAAAAGCATCACATAACGTATTTCTTCAGATATTTCACTCATTTTCAAATCAATATAACTTTCTACACAAGCAACAAATTAGAAAACTATTTTCACAAACATTGGAAGCTGAATGTCACCTTTTAAGCACATGTTCATTTGAGACAATCGGGTGAGTGTTGCCGGATGTACAGGCATCAACACCATCTAGTGGCAAAAACACAGAGACTTTTTATATGACCCAGTATATCACTAATG